AATAGTGTAATGACAGTAGGCCATGTAAACAAACTTCATAAAGAAAGTTGTAACGAAAAAACTGCAAAAGGATCACTTTTGAAGGTACGCTTGTTAAAATGTAATATTAATATGTTTATATAAAGTAATGACATAGTATTATTATTGTGAAATCAAATTTCATAACGTATCCACAATACATTAAAGAAGTTATGTGTATATTTACATTATTTTTATATTGTCATATAGACATAAATACGTGTATTTTACTATAAAGTGTGTGTTTGGAACACAGAGATCCGGGATCGTTGTGGGCACATATATTTATATATATGTATATATGTATATATATATATATATATATATATAAATTATAATAAATAAATACTTTTTTTATGTTATATAATAAATATATTGTTCTTATTATGTATCTATTAATTAAAAAGGAAGAAATGCCAATAAAACATTGTTTTTTTCACTTCATATGTTGCTTTCACACACACACACACACATATATACATATATGTGTTATCTGGAAATGATAAACTTATTTTTATTACTTTGTTTCTATTTATATGTATGATATGCGAAATATTATCATACATATATAGAAAATTATACATGGTCCTCTGTGCCCCGTGCTTGACATAAAGGATTATTTTTCTTTCCAACAATTTTAATATCTAAAATAAAATCTCTTACAGTTCTTAAACTAACGCTTTGTCTGCGTATGCATAATCCTTGTAGATATATGCTAAGCAACTTTGGGCCATTTCTTATAACTGATAAATTTTTTATTAACCTTAAAATTAAACGATTCTCTGTGCCCCGCTCTTCCCTACTTTTTAAACCATTCAACTTTTATTAAAAAAATTTTTTTCTATCTTTTATAGTTTTCATTATATTCCCTCTGAATGAAAAAAACCGATTTTTTTTTCAAAGGAGTATTTCACCCCCTAAACTTGCGAAAGGCAACTTGCACATATAACAAAAAACGTATCTATTATTTTGATGTAAAGTACAACATATTACAAGTTCATGAAAATCGGAGGCGGACACTTGTGTGGGTTTCCTTGTTAGTATAAGTTACTCACTCTACACATAGAAAAATATCATTCTGCTGCTAGTAAAAGCGATTGCTTAGTTTATTTACCTTCTTCTAGGTAATATTTTCGATAAAGAATATTTTATTCATGATAATCTTAAAATGTGCACTGTAAAAAATTTATCCACTTTGTTCTTGTGTTGTGTTGATTTAATATAAGGACAAATTTGTTAAAACGGAACACGACTTATCATATAAAACTTAATATATAAAATGTACATGTTACATTTTAAATTAAAGTAAATTGTGTTATCTTAACACTTGGAAATGTTGAATATAAACTCAACGCGGAATAGTAAAAATAATACAACAACGATATGTCAGATTAATACACGCATGTATTAATACACGCATATTTTAAAAATTTAAAACGAAAGTTTCCACACGGATGGAATTCAATATAGATATAAAATATTTCTTACCGTTTATTTGTCACAAATCCGAGAAAAATTCATTATGTACTCAAAAGAAAAATTTTTATTCTCTTTACAAGAATATTATAAAACTTCACCGAAAAGAGAGTTAGCTCGACTCTGTGTAGCAAGTAACTCGAATTTCTGTTTTAATTTAATATTTTTGATTGAAATGCCTCAGTAGGATTCAGAATGAAATTTTGAATAAATCTGATGCTTTTGACAAATTCATGACGGATTAGCGGATATACGGGATATCCCAGTATTGGCCTTTGTAATTTTTGTGGAAACGAACATAAAAGTCCCATATCGCTTTGCGATAAATCGCAATATTTGCAATAGATCTCGAAATATTAATAAAAGAAGATTTGTGAATCATCACGCACAATACGGTAGTTTATGATCAATACATTTTTACAAAAATTGCGAAAGAGAGTTTGAGACACCCTGTATAAATTGACAAAATATTTGAAGCAAATAATATCTACTCGAATGCAGTATATATTTTTCTGTGTGTACCTTTCTAATGGTTCAGTTATAAAATGCAACTGCTAATAGATATAGAATGTAGCTTTCGAGCTTTGCATTGTCCAAAGTTAAGTCATACGCGAAATGTCGAGGAACTTTGGCGAAGAGAGTGAATCGCGAGGAATATCGAAGGGATAAAGTTTTACAGAGACGCTCCCTCGTCGTGAGAAGCCGTCAACGCGACTTAGACATGTCGGTATATTGTCATGCGGTGTTGTCTCGGAACTGTCGTGTTCTCTCTGTCCCTTTCTCGTATATATTCACCTTCTCGCGGACTAACAACAAAGAACTATAAGAATCTGTCGCAAGGTCGCGAACTCGATAGTTCCGACATTGATCGAGATGATCCAAAGGAAAGAGAGAGGGAGGAGGAGAGAAAGAGTTTCGACAAATCAACCCTCGAGGATGTAAACAGAAATTTAATCCCCCGGCCGGCTCGAGTCGGACGGATCTTTTGTTTGACGTGTCATCAACGAGGTATTTAACGTGAAAAACATGAAGAGCCCGCGGTCGATGTTAAAGCCTTCATTAAATATTCACCGCGGAAAAATCGCTTCCGGGCGTGCGAGCGGGAGATCCGGGGGAGTCGTCGCGCGACAATCCCGCGCGAGAAACCCCGCGGGTATAAAAAATTCAACCCCGCTTAAGGTTACAGAACAGCACCGCGGCGGTATCGTGCGCGCGCGCGCGCAAAAGGTGGTAAATGCATAATCTCGAAACGCACTCTCGTACTTGGCGCCAGCTGGGAAGCCGGAGAACGTCGCGGAATCGCGACCGACGGCGGGGTCGCCACCACCACACACAAACGGCTTAAAAATTCCGGGCCTCGTCGCGCCAATATCTCACGACTTGGCCGTTCGTCAAAGCGCGTTCGCGCGCGCGCGCGCCACCCCGGCGAGAAAATGATTTACGATCGCGGACGTATTCAGAATCCGATCTCGCTACTCGTAAACGCCGGCGTTTACAGTGCCGCGTTGACCGTGACATGTCGGATATTGGCAAAAGCGTCGCGGGTATTAGTTACCTCTCGCGACATGATTGATCCGCCGGAGGAACTTCGCGATTATAATCCCCGTGCGAGATTTGTCAGCGGCGATGAGGAAATGGGAAACGAAATGAGAAACGGCTCGAAATATTCTCCTCGCAAAATTCCGGGCGGTTTCAAAAAATCTCGGCAAATAATGTTCATCGAGAATGTTCGTCGCGGGAGATTTTTAAATCAAGTTTTTTCAAGGGAATCTCGGTTTCTCGCGTTTATTTCGCGTTCGTAATATTAGTAAAAATTACATATACGTTCCTCGTGATTCAGAAATATCGAGTCACGATGGAGAGCGAAAATTTTGAGAATAAAGTTTTCCTCGAATTAGAAATTGAAAAGAAATTAAAGAGTTGGAAATTAAAATGATTACTCAGGCAAGCAGGTACTTGTAAATTTGACAAATTATATTTGTAAATTTGTAAATGCATTTGTAGATTTGACTTTATCGATCGATTTGTAAAAGTTCCTTTATAAGCGGTTCATACGGCACTATTTATCACATAGAATAACGAATAAAATAGAAAAAATTTATCAAAATTTTCTCAAAACAATGTGTTATGTAAAATTTCATCTGAAAATCTAATTGCAACTAAATTTATTAAATTAAATTAAAAGTCTGTTCAAATATATAATTAAAAAACTTGTGAAGTTTCCGATTGTTTCACGTCGTGATAATCATGGAAATCAATTTGGATAAGGATACAAAATTCAAGGAGGAAGGGAAAGGATTTATTCGTCCTTTTCCCCGTAAATCATCTGAATTTCCAAACGAGGAGCTCTGGATCGATCCGTCTTCTCTCACTCGAGAAAATAATTCACTATTGATAAGATAACTCTCTCAATATCTCATGCCATAGACAACGCCGCCGAAAGCGCCGCAGCGAGTAGCATCGCGTCCGCGATGCATTCGACAGAACGAAATTACGTGAACGAAATTACGTGAACGCTAATCCGTCTTTATACCGTTGTGCGGCGACAGCGGAACTAAGGACGGCAACATCGTCGCGAGCATTATACATGCGCACCTGACAGAATTAATTTACCCACATTCAAATCCGTCTCGCAATTTCACGGAACGAACTGCAACGGCGTAGACACGCCGGAAACGCTACTGTCGATACTATACAACGGTATTTCAGAATTAGCGACGCACGCGTTGTACAATGTATTTACTCTGTCGGGTGTGTTTCTCGCTTACGTGCCTTCGAAATTTCCGCACACACACACACACACACACACGCGCGCGCGCGCGCGCGCGAAACTCCCTCCCGTCGTTATGAGCATTTTATATCAATAGCAAAAAGCGAAAATTACGCGTGCAAGGAGAACGATTCGCAAAGCGTAACGATAAAACGGCACAGTTTCTTCCGACCTGTTAAACATTTCGAAATCGGAATAGGAGAGACCGGGGATATATTGGTTCCAGAGATATGTTGCTCATCTTTTCTTTAGAATTTATCTTAAGAGGAATAATGGGTGCAAAATCGCCAAATGGCCCTTAAAACATAGATATTTTTCCCTGAATTTCACTAAAATCGAAGTAATATTACAGTTAAGAGATAGAAAAAACTGGTAATAGCAAAGTAAATTTTCTATTAATATTCGTCGTGACTGAATCAAATTAAGCGATGTGTTAGAATGAAATTTCTTGCAAATGTGTGATATATTGTTTCTGGTAATAAGTGCAATTTTCATTCATAAAATGATTGAAATAGAGCATATTAGCGGACGAGGTAAAGTTGGCCCATAATTAACGGCTACGGAGGAGTGTGAAGACCTCTCGCGGAGACTCTGGAACCACTAATTAAGATACATATTTTATACGTGGCCTTCTCACTCTGCGCTACTGGACAAATGAACCTGATACCAGGACGAGATAATTATATCGCTGTATGCTCATATTTTGGTCATCACAAGACAGAACATATATTAACAGAGTCATGTCGGACATTAATACTTAGAAGAGGATCATCTCTATCATGTTTATACAGTCAGTCACAACAATTAATTGCCTGAGAAGTTGTAACTTGGAAATTTCGAAATATAGGTCATCTAGCCCCGGTCTCCCCGCCCCCACGTATCATCTTCGTGCGCGGCAGACGAGTAAATATTAAATCCACTTGTCAGATACACTTCCCGTGTCTGTCGCGAAATTATATCAACGTTCCGGGATAGTTACGGCGCGAGTGTCATTCTGTTATTGGAAGGCAGACGGAAGGAGATATATAGTATTATGCTGATCGCGAGGACGCGCACCAGTTCTTCCCCTTCAGCATCGTGCTGCTTGGGAACAACATTGATCGTTCCCCTTTCGCGAGATACGTCACTTTATTAGTTGTCAGCTTGGCGAGTTTGTCAGCGGGAATCACGGGCGAGACAAATCAGAAATTGATCGGTGGAGAACACACGTCGGTGCTGGCGATCGGCGACTGCACATCGCTACGCGGACGATTCCGTCCATCCATCTATCTATCTATCTATCTATCTATCTATCTATTTACCTAGGTACCCATCGACTAATCCGCACGACGGCAGATGAAGCGCGCGGATTAATTCGTAGCCGTTTAATTGCAATCGATATCACTTCGCGCGCGACGTGACGCGAGCTACTTACGCCTGACGTCGAAATTACATCTCAGCGCTTCGCGAGCGGACTCGCACGTCGTTCCTCGTCAAGCTTCTTTCGACGACGCGCTCAGGAAGCCGCCCCGGGCTGTCTCACGTGTCGAGACGCGTCGAGAATACTCGCCGATACGGGATACGCACGCTTCCGCGCAAGGGAGCGAACACGCGATCTGTCAGACGCCACTTAGCACGCTCGCGCGCTCTCGAGGAGGATCATCGAAAACACCCGGAAACCGATCCCGAACGCGACTCGTTCGCGTGCGTATCTTCCGCCGCAAACGCGCACGAACGAACGAACGAGCGAATGAACGAACGAACGAACGAACGAACGAACGAACGAACGAACGAACGAACCAGCATCGTGTCTTCTCATCTTATGCAAGTTATACCGGCACGCAGGGCCCCAGGGCGAGAAGGGAGAGCTGGGCCCGACGGGACCGCCCGGCCTGACCGGCGAGAAGGGTGCACGGGGAAAGCCAGGGAAGAGGGTAAGCTTCAGCGAGGTCCTCCGACCGCCGACCATCGACCGGAGCAATCACCCGTCCATTCATCCACACACCCGTCCCACCGTTATCCCCGTTATCCGTCGATCGAATCCGAAGCAAGCAGAAAGACGCTGAAAAAAAAAGAAGGAAGGAAAAAGAGAGATGGTCCCATCCGATCTGTGCCCTGTCGCACACAACCGTGACCCCTTGTCCCATGCGTCGTCCTCAGTCCCTTGTACCGCCTTGTGTATGCATGCTTCGCATGGTAGGAAAAACACTCGGGCACTCACGTCCACGGACGTGATAACCGCATGCCACTTGACGAGTGTCGCTATCTGGGCCCCTTGAATCTGTGTGCAGCATGACGTAATGGTCGCTTTCTTCTGTGAGTACTCGCGCAGTCCGTTTTCACACCGTGTCACACCCCGAGTCGAGATTTTAGCCCTACTTTTGATCTGAACTCGTATTCACATCTGTATGCTCTGAAGGATCGCGGTATAAGTTTAGCTTTCACGCGGGAACACTGAGCGCTTTCAAATGGAAACGCACGAAATGCCACTTGTAGGTTTTAAAGAGAACCTATCGGCGAATCTGTAGGTTAAATGGGGTTAAAAGAGATCGGCTTCAGAGTATTAAAGTAGACGTTAAATGGAATATTGAGATCAAGACAAGGATCGAAATTTCGACCTGAACTTGCTAATATTTATATATTCTGAAGGATCAGAGAAAATTTAATTTCACATGGAAGCTGAAGTCTCGCTTAGCGCCTTTAAATGGTAGAAAACGCATGAAATGCCACTTGTAGGTTCTAAAGAGAAGCTCTCGGTGAAGCTGCAGGTTCAGGAGATTGAAAGGAGATTGATTCAGGCTTCAGAGTATTAAAGTAGGCGTTAAATGGAACATTGAGGTCAAAAGAAGGATCAAAATTTTGATTCGGGACGTCTCTGCGGGGGTGCTGTACGGTATGTACGTAGACATGGGTTTAGGGACGCCGGAGCAGAGTGAGGGCTGCGACACGGACGGAGCGCGTGGCCCTAGATTGCCTGATTTCATATTCCTGATTACGGTCACCCTTAATCCCGCGAGTTAATTGGAAGAACGGGTCGCCGCGCTCCACATTTACATTATTTCAGTTTTATCGCGCGCCGTTCGTTTGATCACGCCTCAATTTCCGGAGTGTATCGATCAACCTGGATTTGGCTTTTGCTCGACAACGACGAAATGGTCGACAGTTTTTCATGATAGTAACTTCGTTGGCCGCGACGGTGAATCACCCGCAACGGACAAGTGAACCAATCGAACAGACTGCTTTTGATATTCCTCATTTCAGTCAACAGATTTCACGGCGAGATTCCATGTCAATCCACGGGCAATCGATATTTCCCATTGCGCGATAATCCGCTTTCGCCAGTTAATTCTTATTTCGAAGAAGAACGATTCATCAGAAGCGCGGCAGAGGTTCGGCTTCCCAATGGGTTCTGTTCCGCTGAGTCGCCGTAAGTGAAGATATCGACGATCATATCGCTCGCGGTCAATTGGATTCAACTATCTGCCAAATTTCGGGGGTGAAGACGAGCCGGCGTTGCGGACGCGTAACGAAATTACGTCACGGAAAACGACCTTGTTCCCACCCTCGTGTCACGTCAGCTGATCGCTAGGCCACATGGTCGTTCACCTTGCTTGCGTCTGCTAAATTGAGAGAAATCATCCGATAAGAAATTAACAAACGGATATTTCCGATTAAAATTCCGATGAATTTTTGTACCCGATCAGAAAACATCCGATAAGAAATATCGGTTCATAATTTTAATCCCGTGAAATTATGATTAAAAGTATCCGATTAAATTTAATCGGATGTCCTGATCGGATATAAGGATTATAATCGATATTATTAAGGATTAGAATCGAAAATATCGTTTGTTAATTTTTTATCAGATAATTTCTCTTGTGTAGTAATGGCCTAGTATAATGAATGACAAATTCTCGGCCGCGACATATACAGGGTGAATCAGCTGACATTAGATTCTAGGATATCTGTTGTTTTTTATACAAGTGGGAAATGTGCGAGAAATAAATTGTGTGATTAGAAGAGATGAAAACATTATGATTAGCTAATATAAAAAAAAATAATTTTCTCTTCTATATAAAAAAGAAACAACAGATATTTCAGAATTTAACACAAAGCAGATAAATCTATATATACTGAGAAAAAATACTAAAAAATTTAGTTGTGAGACATAAAGTTTATTTCTGGAAACAAACTTTATATCTCACAAATAAATTTTCAAGTATTTTGTCTCGGTATATACACTGAGAAAATTATGAGAATCGCATATTGAAAGAGAAATACTTGAAAATTTATTTGTGAGATGTAAAGTTTATTCACAGAAATAAACTTTATATCCCATGAATAAATTTTCAAGTATTCTTTCTCAGTGAATGAACAAGCATTGATATATCTCTGTTATAACAAGAGATGAAATTGGCATCGGCAGTTTGAGACAGAGCGAGAGAGCCGCTTTGGGGCTATCTCTCTCTGTCAGAGAGCCGCCATATTTCTTGTAAAACTGTATTACATATATACATACATACATTGGAAATATAACGGCTCTTGGCGGCCGCTCTAAGCTGGGTCGAGAAAGGGACAGCCGCGAAACAGCTTTCTCACTTGGTCTTAAACTGTCAATGCCAGCTACACTCTGCGGAGAGAATGATTGGTGCATGTCATTGTTCTCAGCCGATGTACGACAGTCGCGGAGTCAAGCACCGGCTCCCTCGGCGTTAACGTCCGGCTATTCCGTACGTACGCAGTCTCGAGTCTTCACTTATAATTCCGAGAGCATCTCAGCGCAATTCAGTCGATCGGGAGGGCCTTCGCGATATTTCAATCGTCGCTTCCCAGCACTTTTACCGATCAAATAATTCTCGTCGTGATTTCGAAGAATAATGCGCCGCCGATGGTCCCTTCCGCGCGCGTGAAGATGTCCGAGTTCTTCTTTTTGTCCCTTTATCTCCCTCCGTTCTTCTTGGTTTCTCCTGTCCTACTTTCGAACGTCGCCTCGCGCTTTCCCACGGAATATTTGATTTTGTAATCCCGAGGATCTGGCCCCGAGGAAACGAGCAAGTCGACTCGCCGCGCCACGACAGACGCTCTTCTACCTCGGCCGAAGGTGTGAGGCGACGCCGGCAACAAGCAGCACGCGCGTGCACGCGGCACACTCTTTCACGCAGTCACGCGAGCATGAGCACGTACAATCACGCCGTCACACCTGCATCTTTGAGTAAACTCTAGCTGAACAGCATCGTCACTCTCGGACGGTAACGGGCCGAGGAAAGTTCCCGGCCGTTTTAAGACGACTTGTAATTCGACTTTTCGGAAATGTTTACACCCTCGTGGTATTAGCGCGAGAGGCGCGAAAGCGACGAAAGATAAATCAACGTTCACGGGGAAATTGCCCCGTGGAATTTCCATCGGAAACATCGGCGGTGACTCTCTCCTCTCTTGAACGCATCACGCGCCAGTCGGGAACTTCGGTAATTGAGCAATTTATCACGCGTCTGAATTATTTGCGTTTCATCGAGCGCATGGCGATATTTTCAAGCTATTCAAATTTCAAGCCGAGAATCAAGCGCGTAGGATCTACGAAGATCGGTAGTTTTTAGATGGTGTTGCGTTTCTGAAGTATTTTAACAAAAAAAAATAACCTTGGGATTTAATGAAACCTCAAGGTGGTTTTTTTGTTAAAATACTTCAGAATCTTTCGTTGAAATAATTTTGGTTGAACTACTTTGAAAGAGCAACTCCAGCCAGCTGCTGACTGTCACGGGCCCTGCGCACCTGTGTCTTTCTTGGGTTAAATAACTAATAGCCTTTGTGATTTAAATTATTTAACTTCTCTATTACGGCTTTAACCCGAATAGAAGAAATGAGACGAATAGTGAAAGGCGATCGTTTGTCTTTAGTATGTAGTTCATGCGCCAGAATAAAATCAAGCGGGATAAAATCGAATGGGGTCAACTCAATAATTGTTAAATTGCAGAAGAGAGAATAACGAGCCGAATGTTTCACATTCAGATTGTACTTATTATATTTATAGAAATCCATTCCCGTACACACACACACACACACACAGCAGAGAGAGAGAGAGAGAGAGAGAGAGAGAGAGAGAGAGAGAGAGAGAGAGAGAGAGACGCAATATATCTTCACGCTTTCCACGGAACTTTCCTCGCGCGCATGTGTCCGTCTTTGGACTTGCATACGTAACCTCGAGCGACTGTCGGGACTCGTACGGTCCCGTGAAACAAAAAAAAACACACAAAAGAAAAGAAAACAAACTCAAGAGAAACGAAGAGAAAGAGATAGAATAGCAGACAAAGGAACGAAAGTAGATAGACGAGCGAAACAAAACAGAAAACAAAAACAATGAGAGAAAACGTTGGTGGCAGCAAATAACACGTACGGATTTTGCGGTATCCGAGGCTTCTCCTCGGCCCCCCCCCCCCCCCCCCCCCCCCCCC